GTATAAATTCGCCGGTTCCCATTTTTACGCCCGCGTGGAGAGAGGCACTGTGACAGTGAAGTGTCTTGCCTAAGAACACAACATTATGTCTCCGGTCAGGGCTCGAACCCAGTCCACTCGATCCGGAGTCGCGAGTATTCACCATGAGACCATCACGCCTTCCAATCCTTAACTAAAAGCAGTTCTTATGTTTTTAAGATTAACACAGTACTCTAACACGTTTTACAAAACGAGTCATTTTATATTAGATTTCAGCAATATAATTAAGAAATATGGAACAATGAAATATGTTCAATTTATAAAATTGTGATCATAAAACGCGACATGGTATTGTAGTCCTTTTACTCGAAGCTATGTAAACACATAGTCTTTACGTTTCATTCCATTTCGTTGGTTTCACCTTACAAAATTTTAAAGAAATAGCATCGGCGCAGACGTCATGCCCTGAAGGAAACATGAAAGAAAATTCAGGAGAACTGGAATTCTCCAAAACTTTGCCTGTTTCTGCATTACGCAAGGCAAACATATGCGCCAATTTCTGTTCCCTTGAAATGACGCGTCCTGCCTCCCAGGCGTACTAACGTTACATCTTCTATAAGTATTGTCCATACTTAGTTTTTGTCGTCAAATTTTCTCTCGATATCGCACGACATGAAAATTTTAGATGCTCTAACCTAGCATGAAGCTCCGCCAATTTGCCTTCATGGATAATTAATTACACTAAAACAACTTTGGAGCTGCATGGAACTGAAAAATGAATTATCAATATGCTTAAAAACGCTTTTGTCTGGACCCTCGGAGATGACATGTTTGTATTGATGACGGCTTTCCAATCTCTTCAGTGGATGGAATTTTCACCACAGCTTGAAAAACACATCAAAAATGCTAATAGAGTTCATTATTAAACTCACAGTACGTGAAATTCAGAGGAATCGGGAACTAATTCTTCTAAAATGGTTACATATTTGAGATGTACTTTAAGAGTCTTGTAGTACCAGCCTGCGAAATGACTACTAAAAGGACAAAATCAGTGCAGTTACGTATTATCTCAACTTAATTGTTGTTCTACATTACAAAGATCTTTGGACTTTTCGTTAAAAAAAAGAGAAACCTAGTTATCGCTGAGTAATATAATTGTGAAGAGATAATTTTCTTTTGATCGCCTTATTAGTTATACCAATCAAGTCTATCTTTTGACCGAGCAAGTTTGCTCGCTACACATGGCTTCATATTGGGCGTATTCGTCCACCCATCTTTCTCGTTCATTGTTATTCACAAACATGCAAGAGCAGAACATGGAGAACGGATTTTGCCGTCGTCTGCTTTTTGCCACCGGCCTCGTAACGCGACAAAACCTCCAAATTTTGTTCTATAAACGAGCTTCCGTTACCCTTGAGCCAGAGGTTTTTTTTTTCTTCTTTCTGCTTCATGTATACTAAAGCCAAAATGCCGGCAATGACAGCAACCCACTGGTTAAAGGTTTTTCTCGCTGGACGCGTCGAGGATCACCCTTGACTGAGAAATGGAAGAGAAAAAAACTCTGGAATCAGGATAATATTCCGCTAAAGTTTATGAAACTACCGAACTAATGGGCATTGTTAAAAGAAACAACGCTCTTGAACAATGAAATATAATCCTCCGTAAGAAAGAAAGATGGCGGGTGTATACCACAATACCATGCGAACTTCGTATAGTCCATAAAGTACTGGGATAGCCATATTTTTGCAGCATTTGTCCCTGTGCTAGCGACATTGTGCATTGTTTATGCAAGGTTTGCCGGTTTTTGAACTTTTCTGTACGTTTTTATGAGCGTTGCTTAAGTTTTTACGCGCTAAACATTTTGTGTTAATATACCAGTCGCCATCTTTTTACCTACGGAGGATTGAATCTCCCGTAACTGAAGAGCGTTGGATAAAAAAACATGCCTACTTTGGAGGAACCGTCTGTATGTGAAGGTTAAAACTTAAGTGTTTGTCTGAGCCTGGGAACTTGGCTTAATGCCCGTTCAAGGAAGGTGTCCGTAACCGAAAGCCAGTTGACGGTATAAATCAGTCTCAAGATACTACTCCTTTTGCAAGGTGTTAAGGAGTTTTCTTAGTTGTCAGTTTGGAGAGATCATTGAGTTTTATCTCCCATATTTGTTCTGGTATATCATCGCAGTGCTCCATGACTGGGTAGCCTTTGTTGGTCGCTGTTACGCAGTTGTTTGTAATCACATGAAGCAATTTCTTGTCCTGCAAAAAGTTCACATTAAAAATATGTAAGTGAAATATTCTTCTTACACTGATGAAAAATTACGAATATCAAACGCACACCTCTTTTAAAGCGGTTTTCACTTGAGTGTCGAAAGAAATTCGCACTTACTTTGGTTTTAAATTACAGCGCTACGCAATTGGCTAAAAAAACTCGCGCCACTTTGTCAACCAATCAGAAGTACAGTGGAACCCCGTTAATACGACCACCTTCGGGCCATGGAAAATTGCTCGTATTAAAGGGGTTCTTTCAGTAAGAAAATGACTGACTGAGCTTTTGTTCAGGCCAGGATAAAGTGGCCGTAATAACGAGATGGCCGTATTAACGGGGTGGTCGTAAGGCGGGGTTCCACTGTAAGTCCAAAACCCATTCGCGAATCGTCGCAGTTTTCCCGCGCTTTGCGTCACCTACATGTATTTGCTTGGAGTTTTGAGTGGCTCACTGGATTCATTGTGTCCTTTGTGACTGGCTAGAGTGCTTACTTTGGTTTTGCTATTACGACACTCAATTGAAAAATGCCATTCTGATGACGTAACTATACACAAATCTGAGTTCTGGCTCTGATTGGTTGTTGCTAGATTTGAATTTTCGCGCGCAAATAACAATTAGTCAGAGACGTCGGTATAGATTTTTTCGGGCCCAGTCTCCGGCATCTCTCAACTGGGAAAGAATTCAGCGTGCCAAGAGAGGCGGGTTTGTATCAGAAGGTGGCACATCTCAAGGAAATCCCGCAGTGCCATGTTTGACCTTTGCAGAATTTAACCGTATTAAATTTTGTAAGGCAACAAATCCAAGTTTTTTTATGATTAGTCGACTCCGCGGCGCCTTGTCGACAATCTTAATCCCTCTTAGAAAACGAGGGCGAGTTGCCTTGTTGTTTAACAAAACAAAATGCAACAGTCCGAAACAAAGGAGCAACGAGCCCGCATGGTGTTTTATCAGCGAATTAATCAAAACTATAACAAAATTCTCGAACGTGATTGGCTATCAGCAGCCCGATTTGAACATTAATCATACCAATTACAATTTCCTCAAATGTGATTGGTGCATAAACTGCTGTATTTTGCTCTAATTAATCTGCAAAGTTGTAATCGGACAGTGTAATCGGACAGTTGGCTGTAATCGGACACCTGTAATCGGACAGTTACATGAGCCAATCATTTTAAGTCCTCTCCACTAAATCCACCAATCACAACATTGATTACAATCACTATAGTAACCACTGACTGAGACTGACTTTGTAAAATTGTGGACGTTTAGTCTCTGGTGACTGTTTTGAAAGACACTTGACAGCCATTTTGCGAGCTGTTCTCCATATTGAATAATTATGATATTTAAAATGACAATAAAAAGCTCTTTATCAAATGAAACTTTTACTTTCGTGGGAAATTGTAATTGTTATGATTAATTGGTAACAGGACATCGTGTCGTCCAATTCAGTCTGTAATCATACTCGTGATTAACAAATCGGACTCCNCGCTTCGCGGTCGTCCGATTTTGTTAATCACTCGTATGATCACAGACCGAATTGGACTCCACTCAGTCCTATTACCATCATTAATCGCCGTAAGGACTTTCCAAAGCTGTTTTTACGAACGTTTAGTGTTTAGGGTTTTTACGCTACCACAAACGACAAACGCTGGAGCTGCTTAGGCAGATGACTTATCTTTAGCTGACAGAAACCTGTATGCTAAATATCTAACTCTTATATTACGAACTCACAACGTGACCACTTGTCAGCTGGCTTGGTAGCTCAGTTGGTAACGCACTGTACCGTTATCGCAGAGGTCACGGGTTCGAATCCCGTTCAAACCTAAACTTTTTCTCAGGATTAATTTCACAGCTGCCTAAGTTGTGGAAATAACTGCGATGATCACTGATGTCTTTATATCTTTAACCGCAGTTCAAATATAAGATCTTTCATATATTCTCTTGCAATATAACCCTTAATTAATCCTATTCCCGCCCTACCTTGGTGTATTTGAATTCTTGATTTCCCTTCAGTTCGTGGCATCCATAAAACGTTATTTTTGCTCCGCTGTGACCTTGACTTACATCTAAACAAGCCTCGTCTTGTCGGAACTCGTCAAGAAACGTGTACTGAAAAGCCTGCCAATAAAGGAAATTACATGGATATCAGCTCGGGTAGCTGGCGAGATTTCACGCGCGAGTGCGTCGCTTCGGCAGCGGAGTCGCGGACGCTAGCGGACTGAGGCTGAGAGGAAAATTCCTACTACTCACCATTCTCCTCGCGACGAATCTCGGCGTTGCCGCTTTCGTTCGAGGCTCCGCCGCTGGAATTGACATCCAAATAATATCATCGAGATAATGAGGACATTGAAAAGTTTTCAAGTTTCTGAACCGGGTACCCATGAAGTAGGAGTTGTTTCGGTTTTGCACTTGCACATAAAATTACTTTAATTTTCGTAATCACTTCTTTGTTACAAATGAAAATTATCAGCTACCTTCGCGTACTTAGAGGACAAACCGGGAGAAATTAGGATTCAAAACCTTACAAAATAATTCATATAGGGCAATATCAATATCTTAATATTCTAAATTGGCTCCGTGCCTTAAGGGAACAAAATGAAACAACCTATTTCTTTATGCTTGAATCTCAATGTAATTTCTTTTGTTAAGTTTATCCCCTTTTAACCTCAGAGCCGAGTCAGAAGTTATTACATTTCTTCCCACTCTCTTTTTATAACAAGTCTTGCATAATTGTATGTATTGCTATTACATCACCTGGTTTCCCATCATGCCATGGCAGGTCACTAGTCCCAGCTCCCCTCCTGCCTTCCTTCCCATGGAATCCAAACAAAGATTTGTACTTGGATTTCGGATCTAGGATAAAGACGTTTGATCTTAAATTAGACGTAAAGGACAGCAGACTACTGAGAACTATTAGTGATAGTTGCTCTCTTCCATCTTTTAGAAGCACTGGTTGAATTCTCGGGGACCTAGAGAGTTGCATCCATACATGCATGCTTGCATGATACTCATATCAAGTAAATGGATCAATTAGGGGTCTGTAACAGAAACGCGTTTAAGACGCGTTTGAGTCCGGATTTAAGTGTGAGACTCAGAACAACACAAGAGACGGGGTGAAGGCGCCGCCCTAACCGCCTGTCAAGAAAAAAGACGACGTTGAAATGTCATTCAGTTAAGGCTGTATGGATATAACTCAACACTGCAATGAGAGTGGGGATTAGAGAGAGGAAAAAAGAATGACCAATTCGCAGCAAAAACAGTGAAGTGACCAAGCTAATACTTTTTACCAGCAATGTAGCTAATTAAATTTGCCACTGAACACAACTTAACAGAGGTTTATTGTACTCTCATACCGGTCCATTGGCCCTAAGGGGTTCATATATTGATCTGACAGTATCATTAGCCACGTTCTCCATGTACCACTTGAAACTCTTGCACTTGAGTCTCTTACGAAGAGCAATTCGATCACTGATATCACCAGGGTCTACATTTCGGAGTTCTGGCTTCTTGTCGTACAGCCATTCTTTGTATTCATCCATCCAGACTTCTGCTACCCGACGGAAGTTTATAAGAGTGGCGTCAGCCTTGGGGTATGAATATGGCACATGATGTCGATAGACATGTCCGACCCGGGAACACGGGATGTTCTCCAGTTGACCGCCACACTGCCAGAGCTGGGAAACCAAAGAAAAAAATCCACTGATAATTGAAATCT